TAAAAAAAATCGCTAATACTTTTTTTGAAAAATCGACCCACTTTTTCCATCTCAGAATCGGACGCCTCTGACTACAATCAAAAGTGGTTACGTCTAAAGACTCACTTTATAGGTATATATTCACCAGCAAAGTTTCAAATTATTCCGATACCAGGTGAGCGAGATATCATGGTGGTTTCATGAAAAGTGGGACACATTGTATTTACAATAATTGTATTACATATTAACAAAAAAATTATCATAAACTGTTTTTGTGCGACGAGTAACTTTCGATTTATTTAATTTTATTCTCACTATAATATAATACAGCTTGTATACAGGGTGATTAAGAACTTATCTGGAAGAAAACATTAGAACTGTAATAGATTTTGTTAGATTTTCTTTTTATATTTTCTGTATAGTACAAAAAACAAATTGTAAAGAGTTAAGTAATTATTGAACATTATTTATGTGGACAAACATTAAATTTATCATAAAAAGTTATAGAACCTTTTATATTTGTATTAAGTGAAAGAATACAATTGTCCCGTTTAAAAATAACATTTTTTGGTAATTGTTTAAACAGTTTAGTTTTAATAAATACGAAACCAAGTTATTCCGGAACAACATGCATTTTTATGATCAGTACTACATACACTGTAAGAAAAATTGAACATATTTTCACTCAATAATGTATCAATTTCCGTCCACACCAGATTGAGTGAAATTTTCCTATATTAGTATGAACACAACTAAAATTTTCAGTTCAAATTTTCAAAGTTTAGTTTAGTTCAAATATTATCAAAAATGCGTAAAATTATCAAAATGCCCAAAATTGACTTAAAATGTACTCAATAAAATTTCAATCAGTGAAGAGAATTATGCAAAAAAAATTGTCAGAACAATTTTTGGAACCGCGCCGACTTTTCCTAGACTATATTTAACAATTTCAATATCTGGGGTATGTGTTTTTACATTATATAAAATAAGCAAATGTTGAAATAATTAGAAACGGCGAATGTGTACAAATTCAGTGAATTAATAATAACGCCTTCAGAAACAATTGTGTAAAAGTAATTTTAACACCCTATATCCGGAAAACTAAACCGTTTAAGTTATAGGTTTGTATGAACTTTCTTGTTATAATAATTCAATGAACCATCTGCTGAAATATGAATACATAGTTAAATTACACAATCAATAGAACTTCATTCATAAAATTAGGACAACGTTGTACATACAGTCTTTGCAGCAATTCAATTATAATTGACGAAATGTTGTACCTTTTACTGTTAAAATATATCCAGATGTTCCCAATTCTGCAAAAATGTTAATGCATGCACGTGAAGCACCAACTTCATCATTTCAATTAACAAAATACGAGAATCACGTGCGGAATAGTTTGTAATTATCAGCGTATACATCAGCCATTAATTAATTAAGCTGTAATTCGCTGAAATTTCCACTTTGCTAAATCGCAAAAGTAATGAGTTTTTACAAGACAGCCCGCCGTTTTCACGTGTTATCGGAATTGAATGATGATGTATTACCCGAATCTAGATAAAATCAACCAACCCACTGCTGAAATTAGTTTGTATTTTAGGTTAGAAGCTTTTTATCGTGATACTACGGGTACAATCGGCACATAACTATAACTATCAATAACTAATCTATTATACTATGTTCGTTTATCGAGATGAGGAAGTTGATTGAAAAAATAAAGATTGAAACAAAAAGTAAAGTCTAAAAATCAGTCAGTAAAGTTACAAGTTTAATCTAACAAAGTGACAACCGACTCGACAATTATTCAACCACCTTCATTCTCTTTTCATTTCTGTTTTAGATATTTATTCAAGTCTATTTCTAACAGCGTTTCGCACATAAACAAAAT